ACCCACAGGTTGAGAACCGCTGCCTTAAGGGAAGAACTTTCTGTCCCCACCTCCTGGCTTCAAACCCCCCTACCTGTAAGGGGTGCAGGACCCTCTGGGGAGGGGCCACTCCACTGGCTGGTTTCACTGGTCTGAGGGGGAGGGAGACAGCATTCAGGAACATGCAGGGCAGCGGACCCCTCCTTAAAGCCCCTCCTCCTGGAGGCCCCTCCTTCCTGCCCCCTTGGCTCCCCCTCTCACCACAGTGGCCGTGGGGGTCTTGTCAGGCTCTGGGTCTCCTGAAAGCATAGGGTCTCCAGCCAGCATCTCAAGGGTCCTGGGAGGTAAGGGTATCAGGATACCACCCTCCACCCAGGCTGTCCCACTCAGGTGCTGAGGGTCCCAGGGAATTTTGGCAGATGGTCCTAATACCCCCTCAGTGACATCTCTTGTATCTGGGAGGTCTAAGGGATGGGGTTTTGGGGGACAACCAGGTGAGCTTTTTTATGAGACATGAGACAGAGTTTGACAGGTTACAGGTAACTTTGGGATTCAGAGAATGGGATTATAGGGGTCTCAAATGTTTTAAGGGGTCACCAGAGGATATGTGGGGGTTCTAGGACCACTATAGGGATTTCCAGTGGATTTTGGGGGTGTGAATTTTGGGTTTTTGGAGATTTAGGCAGGATTTGGGGGCGACCCAGTCTGAGACTCACGCGTTTCCCAGTGAAATTTCAAGGTTGTCCAGGCTCCGAAAGATGTCACTGTACCTCTTCCTGCTCTCAGGAGCCGGGGGAAGGCCTGAAAGCGGGGGGTCATATATGGGTACACGAAGCCTCCTTCAGTCCACAGCACCTCAGCTGGCCGTTTGGAGGGTGGGGAGAGAGAAAGAAAGAGGAGCAAGAAAGAAAGTTCTGGTTCTGTAGGGAGTGTGGGATGGGGTGGGTGTCTGAGTTGGAATGGAGGGAGGGTGGGCTTGGGTGGGTGGGGCTGACTGTCAAGCAGATGGACTCAGGCACAGCCCAACACAGAGAGCAGAGACAGCTACAAACACACGGGCTCAGAGGCAAAGAGACAAAACAGACGCCCCAGATGCAGTCACACTGTCCCCAAGGGCGAGAGCCAGCCTGGCAATGGAGCCACATGGAACTCAGGCCAGACAGATGGAAATACACATGGGACAGACAGGCAGAGAGCTGTGGCCGAAACACTGGCAGCCCGAACCATCGGGCCATGAAGACTGATGACTGACACTCAACATGCACAGAGAGACACAAACGACAGCCCCCCAAACAAGCGGAAACTTGCTACATTTCTGCAACGGCTTCTCCCGCCCTTCTTCTGGGGGCCCCATCAGCGTTGCTCCTCCCTGGGCTGCGGAGCAGCAGGTGCCGATCCTGCTGGGCTGTCGCCCTCTCCCCTCTCCATCCGCGGTTGTTGCACCCTGCCCCCATCACAAATATCAAAAGCAGAAGCAGCCACTTCCCCTTCCTGGGCCCCTTCAACCAGGCATCCGGGGTGAAGACTCCAAGGGGGAGGGGGTCAGGGACTGGTGTCCCGGGCTCCTCTCGGCTTGGGGGGGACGGTGCCCACAATGGAGGATCCCCGGCGTCCTCCCCATTCAGGAACTCCTTCCCCTGCTCTAGGACAGAGAGGGACAACCATAGGCCCTCAATTTAGGAAGCGGGTATGGCTGATGCCCCTCTTGATCCCGTATCCCGGACCGCCTACCCGGCTCTGCTGCGTCCATGGCGTACGGGCTGCTCGGTGGGGACAGGGACTGAGATGATGGAACCGCCGGCTGGGCCTAGCCCAGATTTTCTGCTCCGGCTACCACCAGCTTCCGCGTCTCCCCGCCCCATGCAGGCCACGCCCCACTGCATCAAGCTAAACACGCCCTTGCCCGAGGCCACGCCCCCAGGCTCGGAAGCGCTGAAGGAGCTCCCTGCTCAAGGGCAGAGATGCTGTAAGGCCAGTGCCTCCTGGGCGACCACCCCACACCTGGGCACTCCAGGACTCCATCCTGGCCAGGGTTCTCCTTCCCAGATCTTTGCGCGGTCCCAAAGCGCCAGCACACTCCCCCAGAAGTACCCCAGAGTCCCCCGGTTTTCGACCCTTCCACACACCCAGTGACATCCTGCTCAGGGCTCCGTGGACCCCCGAACCCGTCCAGCCCGACTAGAGACATGGAGCCCCTTGTGGAGGCCCGCAGTCCTGCCCAATTACAGGCGAATCAGAAGTCACCTAACACTTTGTGGCCAGAAACTCCTGACCTGGGGGACTCCCAGTGACCCTCAAAGCTAGATCAGGCTTTTGAGGGCCAATTACAGCGTAGCCCTCAGTTCTCTTCAGGCCTGGGGTGGATGGGGTAGTGATGAGGGCGGCACAGAGACCCTCCCCTGAGCTCCCAATCATCCCTGGCAAACCCAATTCCAGACTGCTCTCCTGAGTCGCCTCAAGTTGTCGCAGGGATCTGGCCTCCCTCTACATTCCACATGACCACAGCAACGCTCTGCAGGCTGTGGTCTGGGGCCACTACCCCCCGAGACCTTGGCCAGCCAGTGCTCATGATGCTCACAGGTATCCACGGCTGGTCCCGCTGCTTTCCAAGGCCTCCCAAGGCCTGCAGGCTACACTCCACTCACTGGGGAATTAGACGGGGGGTGGGCTACCGAGGATGACCGAGAGGGCAGGAAAGGACTGAGCTCCCCAATTAGCATCGGTGGGCAGGCGGCCCAGAGTGTGTCTGGGCCCCCTGGCCTGCGGTGGTCACAAGCAGCTTGTTATAAAAATGCACCCACTCTTCACTCAGTGGAATTTCTGGCTGTAATTAGACTTGATGTTTGTAACTTTGCTTCCTAAAGTTTTTCGCTGTTATCTCCAACTGGCTGCTCTCGTGCTACCTGCTCTGACATTGCGGATTGCATTGAGCGCCCTTTGAAAGGAAGGGCAGTCATTGTGAGGGCAGAGCCAGGCTGCTGGGTCAGTCTGGCTGTGACTGAAATGGCAACAGCACCCAAATGCCTCAGGACCCCAGCCTGAGTCAGCATTCTAATGGTGTGGATCGAACTTCCTCACACATAAGACACCATGCAGAGAAGGCATGCTGCCATTTTGCAGATAACTGAAAAGGGGAAAAGCCATAGATCCTAAGCCTCCCCCGAGTGCCTGAGGTGTGAAAATATGAAGCTGACATATGGGGGTGCTTATTAAACCAGGAAATATGCAGAGCTCTGGGCTGGAAGCTTGGCCTACCCAAGCCCTGACTGTTGCAGGGGGTGTCCTTAACCTCACACAGCCCTCTGGGCGGGTGCCAGAACCTTCCTCGGAGAACACCCAGCCTCCCAGTGACCCCTTGTGTGGTACAGGCAGAGGTGAAGGCAGGGCTTCTTAAAATTGTGGATGCTGCTTTATTTACCAAAGGTGCTGGCTGGGGGCTGGTTCTGCCAGCCAGGCCCAAGGACGGCCAAGTGGGGGGGGGGGGGGGGTGAGAGGGGCGGCCCCAACTCAGTCTTAATGGGCAAGGCTGCTCTGGCCTTGCCGTGGGGGGCAGTGTTCCCTCCTGGGGCCCACATGGGGTCCCTGCCCGGTGGTAGCAGGGTGGGCAGTGGGTGCTGGCACTGCTGTCTCAGGAAGGCACTTTCAGCTTCGGGGTCCCCAGGAAGAACTGCAGGACGCGGTCGGCCAGGAGTGCCAGGCAGAAGTCAAGGATCAGGACCTGGGCGATGACCAGCTTGAACTGCAGGGGAGGGAGCGATGATGAGCTGGATGCCTGCCGATGGGCCCAGGTCAAGTCCTGGGGCCACACCCACAGGCATCCTCACCTCCACGGGGATGTCCACAAGCCCAAACTGGCTGTTGAAATCAGGCGAGGAACCGAGGAGCAAGCCCACAATAGCCAGGAGTGACACAACCAGGCTCCACACCAGAGGCTTGTTCTCAGGCAGGCTCTCCATGAAGGGCGGGCCCTGTGCAGACAGAGAGAGGAATAGTGTGTGTTGTGGGGGTGGGGCGGGGAGGGCATGCTTGGGTTAGGGCTGGAGCTCACCTTGTAGTTGATGGCAAAGGTGGCCATTTGCATGGCCATGGCCATGATGTACACAGTGCTGTTGACCAGGGTTGGCTCAAACTCCTTATACAGGTCCACAAACTGTTCCTGCCTGCAGGATGCATGGGGGTGAGGGCCGTTCTGTGGCTCCCACTGCCCCTGCACATAACCAGGGCTCTCTGCCTGGTCCTGGTTGCCCCAGGCCAACGTCTGCACCTGCATCTGCATCCTCCTTCCACCTCCCACCACAGGGACGCTGCCTCCTGTGGGTGCCCTGTGCACCCACTACTAGGGCGGCACTCACTTTTCAGGGCTTCGGGCCTGGGCCTCGCTGTATAGGTAGATAAGACTTAGGAAGTGCACGCAGAACTGGAGCAGGACCGTGAGGATGGTGTACAGGTTGAAGATGTTGGGCAGGGGCCGCTCCCGGGATAGGGTCTTGAGGGGCTGCAGTATTGGGGTTGAATACAGGGTGAGTGTCAAGCCCAGAGTGCCCTGGGCCACCCACCCAACCACCCACCCACCATGCCTCCTGCAGGCCTGGTGCAGAGCAGTCACCACATCCTGGGGCCATGGGTTGGCACTAGCCTCCAGAGCCCTGCTTGCCTGTGGACAGTGCTGGGGCCCGGGCTGTGCTACTGGGAAGAGCTCAGTGGGCTCGCCCCGTTCCTCCCACTCCCCATCTGTAACACGGGGATGACAGCTTCCCCGAGGGCTGCTGTGAGGAAGGAAAGATGACATCCATCCGGAAGCACCTCTGACAGGCCCAGTGTTCCTTGCCGTGCATCACTGAAGCCTCTCAGCACCTCCAGGGCGGAGGTGCCTGTGGGTAGGGCAGGAGCCATTGCTTTGCTGGGGTCTCAGCCCACCTTGGAGCGGGAGATGAAGAGGAAGCAGCCAGCCAGCAGCAGCCCCTGTAGTGTGGCCTGGAAGTCGCTGAACTTGACGCCCTCCAGGTAGAGGACACTCTGACTGTAGGCCAGGATGAGGGCATTGAGTGCCAGGATCTTGAACATCTGCAGCGTGGTCACTAGTGTGCATCGGCCCTGCTTGATCACGTGGCAGACTGCATGGATTGGGGGAGGTAGGTGTGAGCATGGGTGCATGCAGGCATGGGCATGGGTCCAGGCAGGGCTGGTAGGGGACAGGGCAGGTGGCAGGACTCACTGCACTGAATGGATGAGAGCTTGGAGGTGAAGGGTGCCGCGATGCTGGCATCCCCCAGCTTCACGATGGGCGTGCTCTCATCCTCGAGGTCCCGTAGCACTTGGCTCAGGCGGTCCTGTGGGGTGGGTGGCGGTGGGTGAGACCTGGACACAAGGGGGTGCCGGCGCCCCCCTCCCAAGACTCACCCTCTGGGAGGTGGACTGCTCCTCTGGGGGTGGGAACCCCAACCTCTGCTTGGATGCCCTGGAGGTGGCCCTGACACCGCTGTTGCTCAGGACAGGGCTGTCACGGGGCCGCCGCTTCCGCTCGACAACCCGCTCTGGGGCATTGGCCAGGAGTGCCACACCTGGGGTGGGGGAAAGGGAAGGATATGTGTGCGTCAGGATCCAGGGGAGCCCACTGGCCCCAAGCCAGAGTGAGTGTCAGCTCAATGCCTAGATGGAGCCATGGGTCTCAGAGCCAAACCTCCCATTGCACTGGACCCCCTCCCCCCCCAAAGGAGTACCCTCAGAGAGCATTTTATCTTACTTTCTATAACGACTTAAAAAATAAAAACAAGCCCTAGCCAGTTTGGTTCAATGGACAGAGTGTCAGCTTGCGGACCAAAGGGTCCCGGGTTCTCTCACAGAGCTTCCCTGGCTCCCCAAACTTCTCCATGGCTCTGGTGGCTTCAGCCACACTGTTCCTTAGACACTGTGTCCTTCTGCCCGTGGATCTCTGACCCTACTGGCCCCGCCCTATCCCCTCACTGCCTCCATGCTCGGGGAGGTGTCCTTTATGCTGAGCCCTGGCTGGCAGAACAGTAAGCCGGGGGGCGGGGGAGCTCACCCACGTCGGCGTGCTTCAGGGCACCCACGTCATTGGTGCCATCGCCACACATGAGGGTCACGTAGCCCAGCTCCTTCAGGCTGGTGATAACAAACTCCTACACGGGCAAAGGAACAAGTGAGGGCTGTGTGCCACTTTAGGGCCTCGCCCGCCTACCACCTCTGTGCTCACCTTCTGTTTGGGGGCTACACGGGCAAACACTTGCACATGGGGGATGAGGCGCAGCAGCAGCTGGGGGTCCTCGGCCTGCAGGTGGGCCAAGCCATCGCCCGTGAGGCACAGGGCATGCTCCCGGGCCAGCGCCTTTGGGGAGCCTTGGGCCAGGGGTAGCACGACACTGCCATCGATGGAGCACCACTCGCAGGATCGACCTGCAGGACCAGTGCCCGGAGTCAGGGACAGGGCTTAGTCACCCAGGAAGACCCCTGACTTGGACTCAACATGCCTGGTCCTAGTCTCTCCTCTCTGGAGCACCATTTTGACCCTCACCCTTCCTTCAAGCCGCATCCAAACCTACTTGTGCCTTGGACTGGTGACCGTCCAATAGAGATTGTTCAGAACCCTCCAATACAAATGAGGAGTCCCAGAACCCAGCGCCTGAGACCACGTGAAGTGGCCAACTTCCAACCCAGGCATACCCTAAACCTATTACTTAATTAGCCCCACCCTTGCGGCCTGCCTGAAACCCCATTTTCCCGGGGCTGGGGCACTGGAGTCACTTCCTCTGGCCAGACACTTGCTATCCACTTCCTCTTTCCAGCTGGCTGGCCTACTAGCCCTCCTGGCACTGAGGGCTCAGCCGGACAGTCTCGGCGGGCAGGAAACTAACCTACACCTGGTTTTTGTTGTTGC